AGTTTTCTGGTCTGTTTTACAACAGTTGTGTACAACCGGTCAGAGAGTTATTGATTTTACCAACTACCCTGTGAACTTGCAAATGATCTGTTTTATAATCTGGTCAAGTTTACGCTGATTACCTAAGGCAAGCAAAGTCTTAAAAACTGAAAACATGCTTTAGATACATGTTCTAGGGGTCAAAGGATCTAGTCTGAGGGCCAGAGGTATGTATGTATGTATTAACTGATGCGATGGCTACAAGTGCTCACAACGCAAATTAACTCACAATTTACTAAGGCTGCAGCTAAATCATTCAAACTGCACAGTACTGTCTATTAACTGTATAAAAGCCACAGCAAAACAGCAGAACAGCCAATAAGTCAGAGATAAAGAGAAAATTAAAAACACAGACATGGCAGCATTGATAAATCAACATATTCGCTCACAAAAACATTCTACAGGAGCACAGTGCTACTCTGCTTTAAAAAATGGAATTTGAGAAACAATAAAACAGATTGCGAGCGCATATTTCAGCCGCATCAAAGACAAATTTTGAGCTGCGTCTTCTGACATACGTATATTTGATCCTGACAACTAAAATGTGTTATTCTGAATGTTTTAATCTTTTGGTAAACATTCCTTCAGCACACGTTCAAGGTTCAAACCTTTGTCTAACTGCCAGCGTTGAAGACCTCTAAACAACACGATTTTGAGATATCGTCACAAACTTGCGCTAGGTTTTAAAAGGCACAGAAAAATTAAACACAACGGCAGCCACTAGTTTCCAACTTCAGTGAATTGAGTGGAACATGTAAACAGCTGCACTTTCACTGTCTCCACCCATTTTCTTCCCCATCCCCCCACATTTTAGACAATCCTCCCTCAAATGTATACAGTCATACGTAAGTTTGGGCACCCTTGGTCAAATTAAGCTGAACACATTTCACCATCACTGGGCACTACTATTTGATGTCACCAACGTTTTTGTTTTCTTACACAGAGAACACACTTCTGCACATTTTCATGCACAATTTACAGTTTTATTGTTGTCCAGTATGTTAAAAAGAGCAAATAAACAGAAATCGTGCCAAGAAAAATGGCATATTTAAGTGAGCTCTCTGTGGAAATGTGTTATCTTAGTTTCACTTAAAATCGACAAAACATGAAATGATCAGGAGTGTTCAAACTTTTGCATTGGACTGTACACTGTAAAATGAAGGAAAAAAAAAAAATTCAGTTAAACTGCTTGTCATGCCCTGCGATGGACTGGTGATCTGTCCAGAGTGCATCCTGCCTTCCGCCCAATGACAGCTAGGGATAGGCTTCAGCACCCCCTGCGACCCAGGAGGATAAGCGGCTTAGAAGGTGTGTGTGTGTGTGTGTGTGTGTGTGTGTGTGTGTGTGTGTGTGTGTGTGTGCTTGTTGTCACATGACGCAGTATTTTACATTAAACGGACAACTCATTTTTTAAAAAATTTTGCATATGGAAGAGAAAAACAGATGAGTTTTTTCGTGCACACTGCCCATTAACTGCATGTTTGGGCTCAGGTACAAGTTTCATACATAAGGTGGGCAGAATGTGTTTGATTTGCCACCAAAGCCGTCACAAAAGGCTTAGTACGTTGGGCCCTCTGTAAAGTGCAAGTCACACAGCAAAAGGTCACAACACACCAATTTTATCCTAAAGTGGATTTTAGTACTCTAATTGACGATTTAATGGTCTTAAATAGTAAACATTTTACATCCAACAGCCACGTTACTGGGGAGAGTAATACAGGGCCTCTGAAATCTGTGCAGAGTAATGCCTTTACATGCTCACAGGGTTAGCAAAAACAAATAGCTTCACTCAACTTTACATAACCACACAGGCCAGATCAGCGCTGACAGACAGTTTGGAAAGCAACATGTCATCATCCCTGGAATTCAGACACCTGTCCCCTCCTACTGCAACAGCCAACAGCTAATATTAATAATGCAAGCTGTACTTCCCAAATGACCCACTTCTTCTATAGGACCTTTCCTATAACAATCTGGACACGTTCGCTCATTATTAATCTTGAAAAATGATCGGTTGTATACTGCAGTTCTGGTTAATTCTTCATTCACAGTTATAGTTCACAGTGCATTAAAAGTTGCTGAGTGTGAGAATCACGTTCTGCAGGTGTAAAGTTCAGCATCAGTGCCTCGTTGTAAGGTTCCTCAAGTCTGAAGTTCAGCCTGCGTTGTACAACGGCAATTCTGATAAAGGCATTAAAACACTAGCAGGTGCCAACCGCGTTAGTGAATTTGCAAGCTTCAGATATTCAAATTCAAAGCACCTGAGGCCTCACATTTTCATTTGATTGTCCATCCTGTACAACAGAATAAGACAGACTTGTAGATCCACAAACTATAGAAAGCTTTAAACTGAAAGATGTTTTATGATGGTTTACATACACAGAATAAAAGGTTCTCTAAGGTTAATTAATAGGCTTCATCAAAAGAATGAACAGCAAAATGAACTCGTATTATCCAAATATTCCTTCACTGAGGTGGGATGCAGATAAACATAGTGAAAAAAATTCACGATGGCAAATTATTGGTATTTTTTTCCACACTCTAACTCTACTGTAACAGTCATATGACCCCCTCCATTTCTTTTCTTAGGTTTACAATCACTATGCTAAATCAATAATCAATAAATATCCTGCATATGGCTAGTAATTAAATGTTTACTCAGATTAATGTAGGCTTAAAGACTATGTTAAGTAACAATTCGATAGATTTGCACTTTACGTATTTCAAATGCTAAACTTTTATTTATATCTTACTCAGTTTTTTAGGGGTTTAATTCTATTGTTCTGCTGGCTCAGCTCCTGGACTTCTTTGCTGTTTCTCACAGCTCTCACTGGTTTAGCTTTAGCGTTTTATTTTAGACAAAATTAACCAAAAAAGTGCTATGCTAACAGATGCTGGATGTACCAAGCTCCAGCCAGAGTTCTATAAAGAACCCAGTACTTGAGGAGTTTTCGACCTAAAACTTTTTTCTTCTGCTCAAGCTGCTTTCTATCTTCTGCTGTTGTAACGTCTGACTTCGCTGAAGTAACAACCCGTTTACTTTTCCACTTCAGTGACCTGGCAAACAACTGGGCATCGTTTTGGCCCACTGGCGAACGATAAACAGACCCCTCGTTGTGTGATATCGGTATAAACAGCAGCTTTAAAAGTGGACGACCAACTTACAAGGATCTCTCGGACACGGTCGTGGAAAAGCTGCTCTCTAAGCGACACGTCGTCTGTTTCCATCCTTCAGAACCATAGCTTGAGGCACCGTGAGCTGCGGCTGTGGTCACCTGTTTTGTTCACTCAACGACCAAAAAGGGACCCGTGAGGACAAAAGTTGTGTCGTTTGTTCCAGCAGAGGAAGTCGGTCTCAGTCTCTCTCTACTACACTAACGTTAGCTCTTTAGCTACTACCCTGAAAACGTGCAGTCCGTTACTCTGCTTTAAACGTGCCACGTAACGGCTCGAAGTTAGTGCCTAAATATACTCTACACTTTAAAGTACATTAATGGACGCTCCTAGCTAAAGTCTGAAAAAGGTGAGTTTGCAGGCGTCCTGCGACCACTAACAAACTGCAAACACATTGATAAAGGCTCCCACACACCGTGTATGGGGGAGGATTTGGATGGTTGAGGGCGGGGCGGTGGGCGGGGCCAAATAATGGGGGGGGCGTGTCCTATGAAAAAAAAGATGTGACCACGCTGCTGATAATGAAGGCCGCAAATGAAGGTAGTACGAGGTACTCACACTATTCAAATCTAAATACCAAGAGTGTAAGAAATGTTAAACAAACAAACAAACAAATAATTAGTGCCAGATTCCTTTCTTCCTTTTTCTTTCTTCCTTCATGTCTTTCTTTCTCTTCAATCTGTTTCTTTTTTTGTCTTTCTTTTTTCCTTCTTCCTTCTTTCCTTTTCTTCTTTTTTCTTTCCTTCCTTCCTTTATACTTTATTACATTTGATTTCTGTGTCTCACTGCTCAGTAATATTATTATTTATTTCATTTATAATAATAATTTTACCTTGCAAGCACTGTATTTCCTTAAGGAAATCCAAAGCTAGTGATTATTATTGTTACTAATAGTACTATACAATATTCAAATTCATATAGAATCCAATACTGTGCACAGTTCCTCTGATGCACATGAAATCTGCCACTGCATCCTTTCAAACTGCCCCAAAAGGCATTCTGTACTACTAAACTTCAGCCTCAGTGAACATCAAGAAGCCACTAAACAAGCTGCCATGTTTCCTTTCCAGTAGAAACACAACAGACTGTGAAAATCTTTTTACGACATACAAAGCAAACAGCTTTACACAGCTGAGGCTCGAACCTGAATCCCAACCATCTCTACAGTGACTAGTGCTGGTACCACTTGTGCCCTTGGCCAGAGTTAGCAATATACTGAGGAGTTCCTTTGCTGCTTTGTGAAATTATGGTGTTCAGGATTTTTATTACAGATTTAAAATGTTCTCTTTAATGTCATAAATTGCTTTTCAAATATATATTGACCTGATCTGTTTTTGCTAGCACATGCTGTTATCTGCACATAAATTAAATGAAAGCATTTTACAGACTAAAGTCATTAACCCTGACTGTACACACTGTCTGGGAGGGCTCTCTACCTTTTTAGATATTAGGATGAAAGAAAAAGGGATTTTGTTTGTTAAAGTGTCTTAAATAATCCAATACATTATGAAATGTGTCCTTAAATATAGCCTTTGTTGTACACAGCACAGCGATTTACATGTATAATTGAAAGAATTGTTTTATATTATTGAAATGCATCTAGTTAGGCAGAGAAAGCAGTGCTATTATTAATGCAGACATGTTATAGAGCCTGTTCTAAAGGTCAGGTGTTTTGGCCTAGCCAACCATGAGTGTTTGATCAGGAAGGTCAGTTAAGTTAACATCATAATGACTTCAGCAATATCACTGTCATCTTCCAAAGTCCGAAGTCCAATACACCAGTACGGACGTTTTTCACTTCATGAGAGTTAACGGGAGTTGATAGTGAAGAATATACAAACTTTTCACTGTATTTCATGTTTTTTAGGAATATGACTCACACAGGTTTTATAGAGTGATGCATGCTACTTTATGCTTTTATTTTCCTGCCACTTGAGCTGAACGAGGACATTTTAAAGTGCCATTCACTGTTTGGACAAGCTGTCAATCACTGCTCCAGTCAGAGGTAAGCATTTATTGTTTGGACTGCTTTGGAGGTAATCTCACTTTCCAATATCTTTTATTGTAGTCATTAATGTCAAGATTAAATAGGCCTTTTATATAAGCCCAGTACTGTAGTGCTGCATAGTATTACCTTCTGTTTTGTTTGGTCTGATTTGCATTTAGCGAGTGAAACTGTTTTTACCTCAGGGCAAAGTGGGTAAAATGTGACTTGCTGAAGTACAGTATATGACATACACCAATCACTTATCACGTCACTAAAAAATGTAGTAAAAATCTTTCACAAATCTAACAATTTTATTTGTATTGGAATACTTGTTGACATGAGCACCAGGTGAAGTTCCTCTTATACTTTTTACCAAGACAATTCTGATTTTGAAATGTATGTTTGAATACAGTTTTTGCTTTTCAGAGTCTAGCAGTTAAATAATAATATAATTAATGCAGAATCATTTGGCCTGATTTGCAATAAATGAGTGTATTTTTGGTTTTTATTATTACTTTCTTTAGGAAAAGTGGGCAAAAAAATATGATGGTTGAAGTACAACATATGATATGACATATGACACAAAAATGTCATAAAAAGCTTTCATAAATCTAGCAAATCTACACTCTTTAAAATGAAAGTCCCAAAAAGATGGGATGAATCATGGTCATGCAAGCCCCCTTGGTACAAGAACCCCCACCCACCTCCCCCGACTCTAACAGTAACAAATAAACAAACCAACCACCAGTCAATGAATGAATGACCTGAAATGTAAAATTAAACAATGTTTTACATACTTGTTCATGTGCACTTCAAGCAAAGCATTTTTTTAAATAAACAAATTTTGCCTTATTAATGTGCAATATTCTACTGTGACTACACTGTATGTAAAGGCAAACTTGAAACATGAATACTTTCTCTTTTTTTAATCTAAACTGAGTGACAATGCAAAAACAGAAGTAGTCCAACATATATAGAAGGGTACAAGCTAACACCACTAAAACATCCCATTTGAATGGCAACAACAAAACCCCAAGAGTCAATAATAATCTAAAACTGAGGGGTCTGAGAAGAGATTGACCCGGTCAGTAACCCATCCCTGCCAAAAAGGGGTTCCTAAACCACAAAGGAATTTTTCAATTGGAGGTTGTTTAAAGAACCTCACATGTTAAAAGAGTGTTATCACATGAAAAAAATATGTGATCTCATGTGAAAAAATATGTGGTCACATTTGAAAAAAAATGTGTGCTTACTTGTAAAAATGTGCTTTTTGCACACTTCGTTTGTGTGATATTTTAGACATTTCTGTAAGGGTTTTTTTTAACCAAGCCAAGAAATATTTAGGGTCTTTTACTTTGAAGAGTGTAGCAAATCTAGCAAAATCTAGTTTCATGACATCTCGATTTGTCTTACACCATGTTATTTGTTTGAGTGCAGATTTTTCGCAAAATAACTCCTCTCACATGGTGAGGAGTATTTTGCTCAATCAGAGTCTGGTCAAAGGATGCTCCTATGGCTAAACTAATAGTAGCCTATGCCCTGTGGGCAGTAGGAGGCCCTTTGGGACTGCACCATCTGTACCTACGGAGGGACAGCCATGCTCTCCTATGGATGCTCACTCTGGGCGGCTTTTGGGTCGGCTGGCTGCGAGAGTTCTTCCGCATCCCAGCCTACGTTAGTGAAGCCAACCAGGAGGCAGAAAAAGCTAGACGACCCTCCGCCAGTCTCCCATCAGTGGGCTTGGTTCGTTTTGCCGGCCAGATTTGTGTGGGTATCTACTTTGGCTCAGTGGCTCTGATCAGTCTCAACACTCTGAGCTTCTTCTACCTGATTGTGCTCCCGCTGAGTGTGGGGGCAGGCGTCCATCTGGTGTCCTGCGTCGGTCAGCAGACTTCTGACCTCCAGAAGACCCTCACTACTTGTATCATCACCTCGTCCATATTCTACGGCAGTAAACTGTCCCCTCTGCCCATCAGCATAGCGGCCAGTGTCACAGCAGCACAGCACAGAAGGTTCAAACCACCCCGAAAAGCAGGAAGCCCATCAGAGCCACTCGGTCAGTTGCACACATACATTTTACTTAAAACATTTGTAATTAATGTTTGTGATAATATAAACCAATTTGGTCACAGGTAAGACAGACAGATAGACATTACACATACAGTGCAAAGACAACAGTCACAAATATGACAAACTAGTGTAAATAGATAATTATATTAATTGTAATTGTATAATGTAACAACTAGAGTTTAATATGTTATTTGTCATGTTATAAAGTATCTTATAGCATATCATGGTATACCTCAGCCTTATTGGTTTGACAGAACTCACAATTTTAGATCATTTTCGAGTTTTTGTTCATCAGTGTTCTCTCAGTACAATGCATACATTACCACATACATCCTATAATCACTGGAAACCTCTGTGGTATCAACAATCTAAGACTAATAAACATAACAAGCTAGCATTAGGGGAACTCTTCCAACAAAAAAAAAACAGTTATTCTATCTCTATTTTGCACAAAAAGGATGCTAGAGACTAATTTTTACCCTTTCAGTCAGAGAAAAAAAGCCAAACTGAGGTAAGGAATCTAGATAGTCAGTTAGCCACCTTGTAACTGTAGCTTTTAGCCTGTTATCCTACTCATCTCTAGGATCTGTAGGAACCACCTCCTTGTTTTTACGCTCAATGTCCATTTTATCAGCTCCACTTACTATACAGGTTCACTTTGTAGTTCTACAATTACAGACTGTAGTCCATCTGTTTCTCTGCACACTTTGTTAGCCCCTTTTTGCCCTGTTTTTCAGTGGTCAGGACTCCCATGGACCCTCACAGAGCAGGTATGCTTTGGGTAGTGGATCATTCTCAGCAAAGCAGTAAGACTGACGTGGTGGTTGTGGTGTGTTAGTGTGTGTTGTGCTGGTACAAGTGGATCAGACACAGCAGTGCTGCTGAAAAATGGACCATGAGCGTAGAAGCAAGGAGGTGGTCATAATGTTATGCCTGATCGGTGTATGTAGTTTGAGTAACACATTCTCTACATTATAATGATGGATTTAAGGACACATTAGCTAGCTGCTTTCCGTGTTCACCAGCTAGCGTAAGTAATCATTTCAAAACTACCCGCCACCAAAATTTGCCCCAAAAGTTCTTCCCACCTTTAAGACACATCATCAGAAAGAGAGTCCCTGTCTTCAAACCAGAAAATATCACTCTAGAAACCACTGTAGAACGTAACTAAGCAAGTTTACAACAGCTGTAGCAATGGCTGTTATTTTCATTTTGGCCAGACTGTCCCTTTAATATGTAAGTGATCCCAATGTTTTCTTTTTTTGTGTGTATTTTATGATGTCATTATTCCTCATGTCTAAAATCTTGTGTAAATATGTCCTTATATGATTATGGACGCATGTGATTGTGCTTTACTAATGGCCACCAATGTCATTATGTCATTGTTGAGGCCACTGCCAATGTTTTTTTGTTTTTTCTTCTTTAGGGCCTCGACTGTATCGCCTGAGTTTGGCTGTGTTGGCTTTCTCAGCTCCTCTGGGATACTGTATTTTTCTCAACACCACAGCCACTTTGTACTACATATCAGATTGTGTGGCAGCGATCCTTGACATGTTTTGGTTCTTTCCCTGGCTCAGAGGGGTTGTGGAGTACTTTCTGCTGTTGCCATACCAGATCCTGTGCACACTGACAGGAGGGAGTTACTATGAGAAGAGCTGGAGGAAGGTATTGGAAATACTTCTGAATGAGTACAGCAAAAGAGAAATAGATGCCATGAAGGTGAGCCCAAATGAAAAATTCTGTTGTTGACATATGACTTATACAGGGTATAGTTCAGACTTAACTTGCATTTGTGGGTGCAACGACAAATTTGTTTGTGTTTTATTGATAGTGGCTTGTCAAAATATTCCTGAGACCTTGTGGTGATATCAGTCACAGAAGCATGTCAATTTTTAATGCAGTGCAGTTTAATGCATGGCCTTGCCCTTCATGCACGCAGACTTCTCCAGATTACCTTAAAATTTAATGATATTATGCAAAAATCTTTGCAATCGCTCGTTGAGGAATTATTGTTACACACATTTTTTGACAAAATGGTGAGCCTCAACTCATCCTTGGTCATAAAGGACTAGGCCTTTCCTGGGTGCTCCTTTTATACCCATGCATGATTGCATCACCTGTTTAAGAGGTTCTTTTTGAACATTTTACAATATTCCTAGTCTTAAGTTGCCCCATCTCACTTTTTAAAAAGACCACAATACATGCATTAATTATGAATCAATTATAACAATGAAGTTAATCATTATCTTTTTACTGTTAAATATCTTCGTACTGTTTTCATTTACAACAGGTCAAAGTGGATATGCAAATCACTGCTTTCTGTTTTTACATTTCACATACTATCCCAACTTTTTTGAAATTGAGGTTTGTATATTTTTGATTTACGAGACTAGTGCTGAAACATTTCAGATTTCAGATAAGAACGAAAATGAAAAAGAAAACAACTTTCAGTTATTTTGTATTACCTATTTTAATAATACTACCATTGCTATATAGGTGTATATCGTGGCTGTTGGAACAAAACCTCTTATCTCCGTTTTCTTGTCATTTTCAGTTTATGACATACAACCCCATTTCCAAAAAAGTTGGGACACTGTTGAAAATGTAAATGAAAACAAAATGCAATGATGTGCAAATCATTTAAACCTTATATTTAATGGAAAATAATACAAAGACAACAAATCAAATACTAAAACTGAGAAATGTTATTGTTTTTTGAAAAATATATGCCCATTTTGAATTGTTTGCCACTGTGTTTCATCACCTCTTCTTTTAACAACACTCTGTAAGTGCTTGGGAACTGAGGAGACTAATTACCATAGTTTTGAAAGTGAAATGTTTTCCCATTCTTACTTGATATAGGATTTCAGCTGCTCAACAAGTCAGGGTTCAGATTCAGATCTCTTTTGTCATATTTCTTGTTTGATAAAGTGACATATGTTTTCAGTGGGTGACAGGTTTGGACTGCAGGCTGGCCAGTTTCGCACCCAGACTCTTTTAATATGGAGCCATGCTGCTAAGATAAGCAAGGCCTTTTCTGAAAAAGATGTTGTCTGGATGGGAGCGTATGTTGCCAAAACCTGTATATATCATTCAGCATTAATGGTGCTTTCACAGATGTGCAGGTCACCCATGCCATGTGCACTAATGCACCCCTATACCACCATGAATACTGGCTTTTGAACTGTGTGCTGATAACATGCCTGATGGTCTTTAGCCCAGAGGATGCAGTGTCCATGATTTCCAGAAAGAATGAAAAATTTTGATTCAGCAGACCACAGAACACTTTTTCACTTCCCCTCAGTCCATCTCAGATGTGCTCAGGCCGAGAGAAGGTGGTGGCATTTCTGGATCCTGTTTATGTATGATTTCCTCTTTGCATAGTAGAGTTTTAACTTGCATTTGTGGATGCAATGATGTGTTCACAGACAGTGGATTTCAGAAGTGTTCCTGAGCCCATACAGTGATTTCCTCTACAGAATCATGTCTGGTTTTTTTTTCTTATTTTTTTTTTTATTATTAACAACAGACCTGTTGTCAGGTTTTTTTGTGTGGCTTGTCCTATCTTTTAACTTCTTTGTCTGTCTCATGTACTATCTATCATGTCTGTTTTTAATACAGTGCCACCTGAGGGGCCAAAGATCATGGCTAGCCAATACTGGTTTTTGGCCTCGTCCCTTGCATACAGAGATTTCTCCAGATTCTCAGAATCTTTTAATGATATTATGTACTGTAGATGATGAATCCCCAATTTCTGTGCTATTTGAGAAACTTTATTCTTGAATTGTTGCACTATTTGCCCACATAGTCTTTCACTGGGTGGTGAACACCTCCCCATCTTTACTTCTGAAAGATTCAGCATCTCTGAGATGCTCTTTTTCTACCCATTGATGTTACTGACCTGTTGCCAATTAACCTTAAGGTGTTATTTTTTTTTTGGAACATGTTGCTGCCATTAAATTCAAAATGGGCATATATTTTTCAAAAGCAATAACATTTCTCAGCATTCGATATGTTGTCTTTGTACTATTTTCAAACAAATATATGGTTTAAATGATTTGCACATCATTGCATTTTGTTTTCATTTACATTTTGCACAGCATCCCAACTTTTTGGGATGGGATTGTAATTTGAAAATGTCTGTTGCCCTTTACATTGTGTGTAAATTTTATTATCAATGGACCAAAAGAAAAGGCCCAAAATGACTTGGGGAAAAAAGTCTGGTGCCATTGACTAATATTAACAGTAAAGTAGGTTTTTTCCTTCTCCTGTTGTTATTACAGAGATACCAGGTTTTGTTTAAAAGAGATATGTAGTACCTTAAAGTAGCTGCTGGATAATAAAAGCCCAACAACAGCCTAAAAATGACCCTAAAACTGCACTGAAACCGAAACTGTACGGCTTGACAAGGCTGGTAGTGACGGGGTTGACATTTACTTGAAACTGAGCCTGAAGAGACCTTTTCAGTCCACATGCTCTTGAGCTTGCTTTCTAACCTTGCTTTTTCAGCCCTCCCATTTGAAAACAAGAGTACTGTAGCATTGCTTCAACTGTGCTTCAGTGAAAAATAACATGTTTAGAAGTGTACATTTTGACACAGTATAGCCAAATATGCTTCTATAAGCTCGACTAAGTAGGAAAGAAATACTTGAAGGACAAATATGCATAAGCCTTAGCACGTGGTGGATGTTTTTGGAATGTGTTGCAGGCTTATGCTGGTCAGATTTCACTCAGTTCAGTTTCACTGCAAGAATGCAGAGCATCCAGGAGTCTTTGCGAAATTCAAAATGCTGTGAATCCAGACATCTTCATGGAACTTTATAGGTCATTCCAAACCATCTCACCTACAGCCTGTCCATTCATGACATGGATTTCCATTTTTAAAAAAATCAAGCAAAACTTGAATTTATTTTATACAACTATGTAAAATGTCACAGCTGTGCTCCTTATAGTTTTCTAGTTATTTAGTCATTTTAATATTGGATTAACTGCTCACAGAATCACTGAACTGGGCTGAAATACTAACCGAGTATTAAGTGAAAAACTAGGAATAACTGCACTTCAAGTTTAATGTTAATGAATGCCCACAAAAGGTTAATTTACTAGAGGTTGTACTTTTTATGTCAGATGCCCAATATTTAATCTTTGAAATGTAATATTTCAGTCAGTTATCAGTCTTCATCAGTATCAGTTATCATTCTGGTTATGTAGCATTCTTACATTTTTAGCAATGCGCTGCTGTCCAAAAAATATTAGTAACTTCAAAATAGTAACTTCACAGGACTTTACATGATTTGATTTTGATATAAATTTTGGCACAATACAATAGAGAGCTGCAGTACTAATGATGCAGGAGATATGTTTTTTTTTTCGGACCAACAAAATCTCTGAATTATTAATTTCTGAATTTAACATCTGAAGTTTGAAGAGCTATATTTTTTTTCTTTGAAATCTATGATGCGGACAGGGCATTTTTAACCCATGGGTGAATATGACCCACATATTGACCCATATATGGTCCATATCTATACAGTGTAAACATCAGAGACCACGCTCCATTTATTTAATTTCCAGTCAAAACGGCCAGTAAGTTGAAGCTGTTCATTCAGAGATATTTCTGTGGAGATTAGATATATAAGATAATCAACTTCTGTAAGGAAGGAGAAAGTCAAAGGAGAACAAGTGAAAAAACAGTTTTCAAAACTGGAATTCAAAAAATGATTAAAATATGTAGAGAAAACAGGACTCCTGACAACCACCTGTAACACCTGGCAGACCACCAAAACTGTCCCCATTAAATGAACAGTATTAAAAGCCTTCATCTTTGAGAGAGAGGAGAAAATCAAACTCCACTCTTGAGTCTGAAAGGATATGTAGCTGCCAAAAAACCATAGCTGAAAAAAGGGAATAGACAAAAAAGAAGACAATTTGCAAATCAAATGAAGAAGCCTCTTGTGTTCTCAGAACAATGACCACCCCAGAGTCCAGAGCTCAAAGTCACTGAATGTGTTTGGGATTAAAGGGATTGTGAAAAGCAGAAAATGTTACCACCTTCTAGGACTGAACTTGGGAGGTGCAGAAAAATATCCCTGCATGTTTTTCTGAAAAACTGAAGGCAAGTCTTCTGAAAAGAGTGGAAGCTGCATTAAAGACAAAGGGATGGATACATTAAAATCTGAAAATTATATTTAGTCATTGAGACCTTTCCTGTTTCCTGTTAAATTTCCTGTTAAATAATTATTAAATACATTTTCTGTTTTTTCCTAACACTGAACAATTAATAGTTAGTACTAAATGGCTATTTTGACTGGAAATTAAATCAGTGAAAAGTGGTGTCTGACTTTTGAACAGTACTGTGTATATTACGTTTAGCTGATATAATGTTACTGAAGTTCTGTGCTTTTCCGATCTGCTATGAAAAAAGCTCCTCTGTATTGTTCCAGGTGCTGTCAGTCTCTGAGGGGGCCACACTGGAGGAAATAACCCAGAGCTACAGGGAGCTTGTTAAATTATGGCATCCGGACCACAACCCCAAGCAGCAAGAAGAGGCACAACAGATGTTCATTCGAATCCAAGAGGCATATGAGACACTGATGCAAAGGCATAAGCCTCGGAAAAGAAAGTGATTTTCTACTTGAACAGCATTTTTATGTATCTGTCAGGACCCAACAGGTGCAGGATGCTTTGAACATGGAATTATAATGAACTGAATTGCTTTGATAATTAATACATCTACAGCATGATGTTTTAATGATGTTAGGGTAATCACATTGGTAATAATTATTATTTAATAACAGGTTTGGCAGTATCATTTCTGCATGAGCTGTGCGTCTGTAGATCTGCTGCCACTCAGTGGCTGCAAACAGTACTTCTTTCAAGTTAGAGCAGCAGCACTGATTTAAAATATTTCTCAGCACGTGATCATTTGTGGCTTGCGGCACATTAAACAGGAATTCCACTCATTTTTTTAACATTCCTGCATATTTTAATGGTTAAGATGTAAGCAAAGTTATTTAGAGTGATTTGATGTGAAATGCCCCTTTTTAGGGAAACTTACCAAGCCAGAATTATTCACAGCAGTGGTGCTGGGAACCAGACATCTGAAGCGTTTAGTGCTTCTAAAAGCTACATCACAGAAAGTTATCACACAAAGTAGTTACAGATATGTTGCCTGATGCCTGAGACTCGTAGAGCTCAGAGTAGATCTAAGATGAGATTTTGGCCATAAAAATATTTTTTTTGTTAGATTCTTGGTGTAGAGGTACAAGCTGGGTATTGTAAGGCAAAATAGACCCCAAAGAAAACAGATTTTTTCTTTTCAGAATTATCAAAATTTTGCTATTGTCAGTATTACTTATAAAAACTCAGAAGGCACGTGTAGGTTCACTGGTCATTTTGGATAGTAAATAAAATGTCTATATTCTCCATGAAGACATCACAACCCCTGGTTCCTATCACAACCACTGTATAGAAATCTGAGTTAGTACGTTTCTCTGCGGTGAACAATTTCACATCAAAGCACTCTGTATGACTTTGCTTACATCTCAACCATTGAATTATGCAGAGATTTTGAAAAATCCATGGAATTCCCCTTTAACTGCCACAACTGCTTTTGTGAGTAATGATAAAATATTTGTTGACATACACTGACAATTAAAGACCACAATTTTTACAGTATATATGTTGTCATCATTGCTCATATTTCTATATATATATGTGTGTGTGTGTGTGTGTGTGTGTGTGTGTGTGTGTGTGTGTGTGTTATTTAAAGTTAATAAAAATAGCTTTTTATTAACCTTTAATAATATAGAATCTATGGGCCTCATTCACCAACTGTTTTCTTATCTCGAATTTGTTCTTAAGTAAGAACAGAATCTACACACACTTAAGAGCACAAAGATGCAAACAATTCTGTGGTTTAAGAACACGTCATGAATCTGACAAAGACTTTTTCTAAGGAACCTTCTTAAGAAAAAAGTTATAAAGATATTGGTGCATGTGGCCCTGTCTGAACATAATGTAGGTTATGTTAAACTTGATGGTCTCTATGCTTTGCAAAGTTTGATAGAAAAGAATTAAATGTAAAAATTAAAATAAATATGTTGAAATGAAAGGACTGCAGTGGCACACCGGTGGATGTGACACCAGCTACATGTCACATATTTGTGTTGTTTCATTCATGGTACTCATCTGAATTAAATCTAAAAAAAAAAAAAAATTTTCCTTGGGCAATATTTTGCTTTTCAACACTCTGCTTGTACCTCTCCACCATGAATGGGTTTTTAAAAAATTAAAAACTACTGTAAAACAATATTTCGATATTTCAGGCATCATTAGAGGCATTAAACACTTCAGACATCTGATTCCTGTCACCACCACTGTGAACAATTCTGACTGCAATTTGAAAAGTCAGTGAAATTCCCCTTTAACATAATTTTAAAAAAATGTAGGTTTGAGGCCAAAATCCTATCTTAAAAATACTATAACGCAGTGTCTTGAGCATCGAGAGAGATGACATTTGTAACCATTTTGAATGGTAACCTTATGATGTAGCTTTTAGAAACATTAAATGCTTCAGACATCTGGTTCCTATCACCACCACTGTTAAGAATTCTCACTCTGCAAGTTTCTCTTGAATGGAACTTTTCATATCAAACCACTTTGAATGACTAAACATTTTAATTGTGCAAAATCAAAATTTAAGGTGTACCGATTGCCCTCACAGGAGTTTAGTTGCACACACAGCTTGTATATTTTCCATAGAAAGAGCAGGTGCCAATAGAATGAGCCACTCTGGGGTAGCAGCACAGCAGCCTACAGTGTAAAGCCTGCTAGCACTGGACTGTGGAGCAGTGAAACTGTGTTCTCAGGAGCTCCATTAAAATACCTTTGGGGCGAGTTGGAATGCCAGAACTAATCATCCGACATCAGACCACTAATGTCTTTGTGGCTGAATGCAATCAAATCCCCTCAGCAATGCTCTAAACATCTCAAACCTTCCCAGAAAAGTAGAGGCTGTTACTACAGTAACTCTTAAAAAAGGTGGTTCTTTAAGGGTTCTTTAGTAAACCATGAATTCTATATTGAACCATTTCATGCTTAAATGGTTATTTGCATGGTGCAATGGTTCTTGTATGTGGTTCTATATAGAACCTTTTTGAAAATGGTTCTTTATAGCACCAAAAAGGGTTCTTCAGGAGTGCATTTTCAAAAATGTTTTTTTATAAAGCCATATACAACACATTCTCCATCAATGTGAAGGACCATTTCACCATGCAAAGAACCATTTAAGCATGAAATGGTCCCACATAGAACTCATGGTTCTAAACAGAACCATTGCCTTTACTAAAGAACCCTTGAACAATCATCGCGTAGAGGGGGTAAACACCTTACCTCACTCTTGGTTTGGGAAGAACCGTAGGAGGGGTCTTCAAACTTTTGGACGTGTTATCCCATCCTTCCCATCCCTTTTCCCATCCATCGATGCTCTCGGTTTTCCATACTGATCGAGCGCTCCGCAGGTGGCTTACTCGGGCCTGCTGGATCCCGGAACTTGTTCGGGATTTTCAGGTAAAGGATCCCGGAGATGCGCGAGAAAACAAACCGCGCTCGCGCCATATAAACAACACGGCAGAGAGAGTCGCTCGCCAGGTGGGGAGAACATCCGGGCCGGCCCGGCGAGACGCTCGTCATGTCGGGAAGGTGACACGGCGTCGTGCGGGCGGCCAGCCGCGCTCGGTCCGGCCGAGTTTTACAGAGGCGGCTAAAGCTACCCTGCTAGCCGCGCGGCATCTGCCGAGTATCGGGTGCCATAGCAACGCCGACGGGCTCTCGGGCAACATTATCGCGCTTTAGTTCGCCACGGCGAAAATACTGAGCAGGTTGGCACGAATGGACCGGCCGAGCCGTTAGCGCACGCACTAACGCTAATCTGTCCTGTTTTTTGGTCAGTTCGGCCGTGTTCTCGCCTTATTCACCAAGCTGTCGCGCTTCGTTAGCTCGTTAGCCGCTGCCGCTAGCTGCTTGCCTCAGCCACACAGGTTGAGACGTTCAGCTGCAGCTCAGTGCCGGAGACTGACAACACTGACCGCAATGTCTGTCGTCTTCCTCCGGTGGTGAAAGGGTTTTATTCCACATAGTCGCGTCTAACTGCTGATGTTTTGCATAAGTTCCTGACCTGCCAGGCGCAGAAACGAGTGCCTGTTGCGCGAAGTCGTGCAGTTCAGTCTTAACGTATCTTAACTTATCTCCCGCTGTCAGAGCTCTGGAGTTAACTTCTCTGTTGTATGATTAAAAGGGACAGCCGTGTAACGCACGACAGCTCTGTAGAGTAGAATATAGATCTGTAAACTAGTAAACAAGGTTAAAAATGGAGCGTCGGTGCCCTTTGTTCAGAAGTTAGGAGTGTAATTATGCAATATGAGGCATCGTCTCATATGGGACAGTGTTGATTCATATGGGCCCTGAATGATAAAGCCATTCTTTTATTTAGTCTTCTATTTCCCCACTAAGCCTTGCTTTATTACATAATGTGCCTATTTGTGATATTTTTTCCTGCTCCTTTGGAAGGAATTTACTATTAAGCATCTCCCATGGCCCAGAATACATGAATCCATGCAATATCCTGACAGTCTTCCCCTCATTTAGCACTCCTTTTATCTAAAAGGATGTGTTGCATCTTTAATTTGCATGTGTTTTTCTGGTGTGATGTTCTCCTAGTACACTCTTTTGCCCTGGAGATAACAGGACAAGCACCGTGCAGAAAGATCTGTACCATTCACAGTTTTCATATGATGACGCATTTATCTGCAGTTATCCGTCTGTGATAACCATTCAGTTGGTGGTGTCATCACTTCTCACCATTTCCTAATCTGTTCTCTGATAGGTCAGCTATAAAGGGGAGGGCAGTTTCTTATAGCTGCTTTTTCAGTCTTCACCTAAGTTCTGTAGAAAGCGGAGACTTGGGACTGGTACTAGAACTAGAATCTATATACTCGCGGTAGTGTTTTTGATACCATATTAACTATTAAGAACAAAACACAAGCGCTGAAAAAAGAGGAACAGATGATAGAGCTTAAATCCAAGCAAAGTTCTATGCCTTGAAATGTATCATAAAATGTTTGGCCCTGAATTCTTTCACAGTAGAGCGATTTTAGAAAAATATGTGAGGTGCTTTTTGACATGTTGCTGTGTTATAGAATCACACCATACTGACAGTTTTGTTTGTGGCTTTTTTGTGTTTTCAGGCATCTGGTGTGAGAATGAATGCTGACGATTGCAATGGCCGTTCTTACATGTCAGGTATTGGAAAGTTCTATTGATTTTAACCAACACAATTATCTGCCTTTGGACCTCTGTAGGAGCTTGACTTTGTGTGTGTGTGTGTTTGCAGGCAATGGAGATTCTTCAACAGAACGAGAGTTTTTTGCAGGGCTAAGAGGACCTACCGTGAGCACTCCTAACAGTCAGCACTCTTCCCCCAGTCGCTCTCTCAGTGGTTAGTACTCTACTGATACACTTTTATGTTTTACAGTACTGTGCAAGATTCAGAGACCACCAATAACCCATTCATTGTTTAGCATTAGGAAAAAGGCAAAAACATATTTAACAGAAAATTCCACAGAACTCTCAATAACTAAACATAGTTTCTGATTAATCAGTATTTACTGTGTCTGTACTTTGCCTTTATTACAGCTTCCATTGTTTGGGGACTTGCTTTCAGTTTTTCAAAGAAGTATTTTTCCACATGTCCAAAGTGCAGTCATAGAAGTTGGTTGCATTTTCTATTTTTTACAATTGAAGTAATCCCAAACACATACAATGGTGTTGAGATCTGGATTCTGTAGCGGTCAGTCCATTGTTCTACGCTAGCAACAAAGTCTAATGGCTTCTTGACAACTGTATATCATTTCAGATCCATAGCGTCAAGTTGTGTAGTCACAGTGGAAGGATGGACAAAAACACCTGTGGATCTTTTCAGATCTGAATAAAGTGCTTAATTTTTTTCCTGTTGCTCAAAAATGAAAAGTTTAACTCCTGTTTATCGGATGGTTTCACGGTTGTAAATAGTCTTGTGCCTTTCTCAGGCCTTTCTTAGTCATTTCTATGACTGGAAGTGAAGGGTGACTTTTACACAGTACTGTATCTTTTAAAATGCAACAATTTGCCATATGGAACATGTATAATTCTGTCACATGTTGTATTCTGTTTTCTGTTTTGTATGCTATTCTAATAAGCCCATTCATAAGTGCTCATTCTGCTCTGTTTCCCATCTGTCTAGCTAATTCCATCAAGGTAGAGCTCTACAGCGATGAAGAGGCAGGCGGCGCTCCACTTACAGAGAGGAGAAGAGGAGAGCGGGATGAGGGATGGAAGGATGATAAAGGAGACGTCCCAGAAGAGGGGGGAGTGGAGATGGGTGGAAGGGTTCGAGGTCAGGGAGGAAGCAGCTGTGGGGAGATGGGCAGCCCTGAGCCTGCTTCGCCTGGACCCATTCGGCTGCCCAATGGAAAACTGAAGTGTGACATATGTGGAATGATCTGCATCGGTCCTAATGTTCTGATGGTACACAAACGCAGCCATACAGGTGAGTGTTATAACTGAAGTACAATTTTACAATTGAGATCTGAACACGTCTTTGGATGCCTTAGTGAATGATGCCTGTGGGGGCTTTTGCTGCAAAAACTGTTGACAGGTGAGAGGCCATTCCAGTGTAACCAATGTGGAGCATCCTTCACACAGAAGGGAAACTTGTTGCGTCACATCAAGCTCCACTCTGGTGAAAAGCCTTTCAAATGCCCGTTCTGTAACTACGCCTGCCGTCGCCGTGACGCACTTACAGGTCACCTCCGCACCCACTCTGGTGAGTCTACGCAGTAGGTAGAGGCAAGGAACAGAAAACTTGGAGAATATGTGGTGTAAGAAATGTAGAAATGGAAAGTGCGTGGGATGAATGAAATGATGTAACACTGAATATAATGAGCATGATGAGGCAGCTATGTTGAATTGCAGAATTGACTGAGCCCTTGAACAAAGTTCCTTTAAAGACGCCACAAAAACCTTGTAAATATTTAAGTGCTACCTTGTAAATACACTGTATTTTTTATCAGTAAATTCAGGTACTTCAGGGTGCACCCATTGCTGACACAAGCATTCAGTTATAGAAGTGCATTGTCAATAGAATGGGATGCTCTGGAGCAGCTGAACAGAAGCGTAAGGTCACCATGCCTGTGTGGAGTAGTGGAACTGCATTCTTTGGAGTGATGGAGCATAGGGCTGGGCGATAAAACGATAACGATAAGTATCGCGATAGAACTTTTCCTCGATAGAGCGATAAGACAGGTTCGATAAATGTTCGATATAATACACCGTTCTCACACTTCCACGTTTTAGCGAAAGCCCTGGTGGCGCTTTCTACTGCAAGGAAAGCGACACTACTCTGCTGTCGCCAGGAGAGGGCGCACTTCCGAATTTTTCAACTTGATTAGAGAGGAAGGGGGCCACGAGTGAAAAAAAGGGTCGCCAAATATACTTTAGCAACGGCTGAAACGCGGAGTTATACAGTCCCTGTTTGAGTGAAACGACCGGCAATATGTTCTCCTGTGACCGAGTGTGCGTGACGAGGTCAGTGGTGTAACTGTACTGTCCTACAGTGAACTCACCTCTTTCCGCGCTGTCTTTCCAGGCTAGCTGTTTTTAGCTGCTGGCTAACTTGAAGCAGCGCTCCGGCACAACACGGTGAATTGATGATACGGTAGATCAAACAAGACACAAAATCACCGCTTTTAGTTTAAACATACCTAAAAGGAGGACTCTGTGACTGGTGTGAGAGATTCACACTGCAGATAATGCTTTTACACAGCGAACGTCAGATATACTGCGGTTCACCCCTTAAACTACTACGGTAGCATAGAGAAACCCAGTCGTCGCTAGCTGGTGTCTGAATACTGTGATATGCTCTGACATGGATGTGGTAGGAGTGACAGCAGTGACCTACCGAACCGAGTTGTCGTTGTTGAGAAACTAAAGAGTTTAGAACTGTTGTTGGCCACTTGTTTAGCATTTGTAACGGGGTAGCCGAGCGCTCGTCACCAGACAGCTAAAAATAATCTGTTTTCTTTCTTAAATCATGACTATTACAAAAATTACAGCTGTGCTTTTCAAGCTGATAAAAACAACTCAGAAACTTTCTCCCACTCTTCCATGACAGATTAGTGAAATGTTCCACTGTTTGCCGAGTGTTTGTCATGATCGGACCATCAGTGATAGTTTAAAACCACAGTTAACCACCCAGGAGCAAAATCAGCCTTCAAACGTGAAAGAAATCATGATTTGATATTTATTGCGATATGTATCGATATCGAACGATATGAATTTTGTTTATCGTGATAACGTTTTTGGCCATGTCGCCCAGCTCTAATGGAGCATCATCCAGTACCTTTGGAAGTGATCATCCAGCATCAACACCTGACCTCACTTAAGCTCTTGTGGCTGAATGCAATCAGATCCTTACAGTAATGTACCAAGTTCTAGTGTAAAGCCTTCCCAGAAGAGTAGAGGCTATTACTACAGCAAAAGGGTGGGGTGGGGGGTGGGGGGTGGGGGGCTCTCCATTAATACCGTTGATTTCAGATGAAATGTTGGACGAGCAGGTGCCTGAAAATACTAAATGGCAAATGGCCTCACAGCAGTCCCCCCCCACATGCTCATAGCCATGACATTTAGAATATTATCAAAACAGGATATCCTGCTTGTGCTTTCAAAATGTTGATGTGCATTCACCTGTAGTAATGTGAAGCAGGCAGGGTGCGGTGGCTTTTTCTACCATTCCTCGGAATGAGAGCGCAGGTTCGGAGAAATGACTACCGAGAGTCATGGAGTTCTCCGAAATGACGTAAATCCCTCCTGCTGAGGGGCTAATGCGGTTTATGTATTTTTTTCCCTTTTCAAATGTCATTGATGAGAAACTTTTTGTTACATTCACATCATTTCGGGAAATTACGAGAAGAGAAATTAGAGGCATTAGTTTCCCCTGGAAAAGGCTACACGATCAGTCTTTGGGTTTTATTTACATAAAATTTAGTATTTATCAAGAAAAGAGGTCTTGGGATATACATAAGCTTGTCACACTCATTACATAATTGCATGATTGCAGTCGTTTAAACTGACCACAGTTATTGGTACTGTCTGCAAGTTTTTTTTTTTTTTAAACAGTTCCTAGCTTTCACAATAATATGTTTACGTTTCAACGAACAGAATTTAATTGGGTGTTTTTTTATCATTTGAGTTGAGGCAATCTCCTGTAGGTAAATATAAAAAAGCAAAAAACATTTGTTAAGACCTGTTGTGCTTCTTACAAAAGCAACAACTTCTGGTGCTATAACACCTTTAGAGGGCAGCGGTGAGTAATGTTTGTTTACTGGAGCTTGAGCTGTGTCTCATTATTTAGGAGCTATTATGTTCCGACAGCTAGGATGTACGATAGCTAATCAATAGCTAATCAATAGCTAATCAATTTGACTCCTTTCAGGCTTGTGTTTTATACAATTAACCTGTCCTTCAAAAACATCAATTAAATTGTTAATCGGTTATGTATAGGGCAAATAATCATCAGCTAAAATTTCATGATGCTGGATAAATACAAATTTATTCCACATCGTCACAGACAAGCTTTAAACACATAATTTGAGGGTTGAAACGTAAGTAGTGAAAATGTAATTGATTTTAATACAAGTAAGAGTATTATTATTATTATTATTAATAGAAAATAGTAATAAGAACTATAATAATAATTAAAGAAGTTTTTGACTATTTTTCTTGTTTTCAGCCATAAGGAGATGCATGTGTGTGGTCTAAGCTGTGCAAGAATATATACATTCTTCTAACTTATGACTTTTTAAAACATGTTTTGTGTAATAATGTTGTATTTCTACATAAGGAAGATAGACAAATAAGACTTTAGTTTTTGTTCTTGAGTTGCATTGACTCCCCACCCAATAATTGCTGTCTTGGACTATTTCAGTTTCCTCTCCGACTGTGGGAAAGCCCTATAAGTGCAGTTACTGTGGCCGTAGCTACAAGCAGCAGAGCACACTGGAGGAACATCGAGAACGATGCCACAGCTACCTTCAGAGTCTGGACCATCAGCCTGCACACAGCACCCAGTCTGCACAGGGTAACTGACAAAAACACTTCTGCAGAGCTGACATGTATAGCCTTGTATAGTTGTGTGTGTCTTTGTATGCATGCTCTTATACTACAGTCTGGCTGTGCTTTGTACAGGTGAGGAGTCTCGCAACATGGACATGATTCCTGACCCCCTGGTCCATCCCTCCTCAGAAAAAATGACCTTCATTGAACGGGTGGCTAACAGCATTACTAAAAGGAAGCGGTCGACACCTCAGAAGTTTCTAGGTAGGTCTCGTTCAGAGTGTCACTGGAAATGTTTATTAAGCATAGTTTGTCACACCAACATGCCACTGCACTACACAGTCCCTTTCACAATTATTGGCACCTTTGGTAAAGATTATTAAAAACGGTTATAAAAAAATTTACCTATTGGTTAGTAAGCTTTCTCACACAGAAAAAAATAGAAAAATCCAATTTTTCATTGAAGTAAATTTACTCTGAGTAAAAAATCCCTCATCAAGAAATAATTATTTTAAGAAAACCACATGTGCCACAATTATTGGCACCCTCAGAAATTCTTAGAAATAAAATGTAACTGAAGCATTTTGTCCATTTATATATTTTAAGTTGATCAGATTGTCTAGGAACTTTTAAGCAGTTATTCATGACTTTCTCTTTCACAAGGGTATGTATATGAAGTGACAGAGGTCACATTCCCTTAGCCATTCTTTAATATGGGAAAGACAAGAGAGCACACAATCCAAATAAAGGAAAAGTGTGTTGAGCTTCATATGTCAGGATATGGCTGTAAAAATAGCTATTTGCCTGAAAATGCCCATATCTTCAGATAGGGCAATAATTAAAAAGTTCCAATCAATTGGAACTGTGACAAACTTGCCTGGACAAGAATCCAAGTTTATTTTGCCCCCCACGCACAGTGAGGAGGATGGTAAAGAGGCAAAAAATCCCTAAGGATCACTGTTGGAGAGTTACAGAAAAAAAGTATCTTGGGGTCACCAAGTCTCCAAAACTACCATCAGGCACCATCTCCATGCCAACAGAATATTTAAAATGCATGCCAGGAAAAAGTCTTTCCTGTCACCTAAACGCAAACGCACATGGAGTTTGCTCAGCCCTACTGATACTTTGACTGGAATTGTTTTCAATGGTCAGATCAAATTAAAATTGACCTTTTAGGCAACAAACACTCAGGGTGAGTTTGGTGCAAAAATGAATGATGACTACACTGTAAAGAACCTAATGCCCATTGTTACGTATGATGGAGGGTCTGTGATGTTGTGGGAATGTTTATCCTCCAAAGGCCCTGGGAACCTCATGAGGGTAGATGGCATCATGGACTCCATGAAATAACATTTTAAATCTAAATCTGTCTGCCTCTGCCAAGAAACTAAAAATTGGTAATCATTGGATCATCCAGCAGGACAGTGATCCAAAACAGTTAAATGGTTACGGAACACAAAATTAAGCTTCCGTCATGTCCATCTCCCCTGATCTAAACCCCATAGAAAACCTGTGGGGGTGACCTAAGAGGAGAGTGCACAAGGTAGGACCTAGGACCCTGGCCTGTCTGAAGAGATTCTGTAAAGGAATGGTCTCAAATTCTCTGCTCTGTATTCTCCAACCTCAAAAGATGTTCAAGGAGAAGTGCTGTTTTATTGGTAGAGGGAAGGTTGAATGTTTCTCATTTTTTCAGGGTGAGATTAAGCTATTGCACCAAAACGTGAATGTCTCATAACTTTTTTTTACTCGTCTTTACAATGTGGTGCCAATAATTGTGGAGGAGACTGTATATTTCTAAGGAAGAAAGGCACTATTCTATGACCATGCTGACCAGTCTCAATTGCTCCTGCTGAGTGCTATGTGGGTGTTTTTGACAAATCAAAGCAGTCGTGTTGTGAAAGTTTTTTGGTCAGAAATAATGCAGACCCATCTTTGTACATATCCATTAATTGTTCACTAATGTTTTTTTTTTATTTACATGGTGTGTCATTAATGCAATATTCAGTATTCAGCAAAGAGAGTTTTGTATTCATATTGTGTTGTATAATAACAGACAGTACTATGCAAAAATCAGAGATCACCCTTAACTTTTTTTATTTCTAGTCAAAGCTGCCGTGTACAAGATCATCAGCTGCTTAATGATCGTTTTGACTGGAAATTATATAAATACTGAGACAGTAGTGTCTCATTTGCACACAACTGTATGACATATGATTATGCTGTATGTGTTGTTACTATGTCCCTGTTGGTGTAGGGGCCTCTTAATTTGACCCGTATTGTGTTTTTATAATTTCACTTTGTAGAAAAAGTAATCACAGTGTGATACTTTACCCATAGTGATGCTTCTGTAAAATTGTGAGAGATAAGTTTTGTGATTTTGTGATTGTGGATTGTTTCCATTTCCCTGTCTGCATAGGGGAAAAGCACATGCGGCTGAACGTTTCCGATGCACCTTATGAACTCAGCTCCAGCCCTGAAAAAGAGCGAGATGTGCTGGGTTCACACGCAAGAGGCGACCCCGCTGCTTTAGTAGGCGTAGGAAGCCGCTATCTCCGAAGACCCCATGGTGGAGGTGGAGAAAGAGGAGGAGGTGAAGACGTGGATTCTCCGTGCGCCATGCGGCTGCCTCCCCCTCACCCAGCCTGCATGTCGGAGTTCACCCCCGTCATCAGCTCGGCCTACCCCCACATCACACCCCTGGGCCAGCGCCTAAACTGTGGAGGGGGTGTATCCATGGGCCTGGCTGGACGGGAGGCGGGCGAGGGCCATGAAGACGTGCCCTCAGGCCGCAGCCATGCCGCCTCGCCCAGCAACGGCTGCCAGGACTCCACAGATAACGAGAGCATGGCAGAGGAGCAGTGCATCGTGGCCAGCGTCCCGCCTGGCAGCTCCAACCACCGCGGGCGAGAAAGGCACAGCCCCAGTCACGCCAAAGAAACAGACCTTGAGGTAGAGAGGGAGAGGGGCGTCCCTGGGGGCCTGCCAACGGTCCCAGCTAAAGGAAGCCCGCGGTCTCCGCCCACCTCCAGGGATACCATGCAGGTGGTGGACGGAGAGGGCCGGCCGGTGCGCTCCTTCCGCTGCGAGCACTGCCGCATCTTCTTCCTGGACCATGTCATGTTCACTATCCACATGGGCTGCCACGGCTTCCGCCAGCCCTTTGAGTGCAACATATGTGGCCACCGCAGCCAGGACCGCTACGAGTTCTCCTCGCACATCGTCCGTGGGGAGCACCAGGTGGGCTGAGAAGGGGTAGAAGGGCTGGTCTGCGGGTGGGACGGGTTTTTCGGAAGAGGGAGGAGGGTACTGACAGAGAGACGTATGCTGCTTTTGAGATGACACGGAGTCCAGTTTGGTCTGCACCAGAGTTGTGGGGGGACAGGACAAATAAGCACTTGCTTTTACTGTTAAGTGAACACCATGCTTTCCTATTGAAGGCTGACTGACAAAGGCACAAACCGAAGATGCTGGGGGGGGAGCTTGGCCTGGTGCAATGGAGAGAGATTAGATTAGAACAGAGGGAGCGGATCGCACCACCTGATTGCACTCCCAAATCAATTTATTTGGCAAGACGAAGCTGTTTTGCTTTAGAAGTGCCTTTCTTCAGTGGGGTTTACCTTTTCTTGGTTAGTTAGAGAAACTTGGTGCTTGAGCATGCTGCAGTAGGAGGCAGGGCCGGTGAAATCTTGCCAGCAGCATTTCCACACAGTCTGTGTGTTAGAGGTTGTAAGTGAGCTTGTGAGAATGTGTGCGAGACAGTGACTGTAAAACGAAAAAAAACGAAGCATAAAAGCTTGCTGCTGAGTGAGATCCACAGTTCAAGTATACTCTGAAGCTTAGAGACTGTGTTTGGACTCCTTTTGCAGTAGTTCTGAGCGGCTGTGGAGTTTAGTGGACTCAGGGAGGACGCAGGGGACTAAAGAAGAAACGTGAAGCAGCAACATGAGCTGCAGGCCTCTTTAGGGCTCAGAGAAAGAGGAGATCTGTATGTTAGCCATACAAACGGAGCACACACACGTATTGCCTTAATTAGTTGCTTTATATCAACCCTGTATTAGCTAGTTATTGAATTGCATGCCATTTAATACTGGTGGTTACCGGAGGCACAATACAACCTTTTGCCAATTGCCTAACCGTGGCAGACTGAAGTCAAGGAGGATTAAGAATTAGGTCAAGCCTTGGATAATTGTATATTTTGTTTCTTCTAAAAACAGTGTATGCTAAATGTCTTATTTAAGTGGAAATTAACTTGAAATATTTTGCCTTAGTTTTTGAGTGTACAGCAGCGGGTAACCTTTGTCCAGGTCAAATTCTTGGACTTGCTGGTTTCCTTGTGCCTCAGATCTTGATTGTTGTTTTTAATCTAGATAGACCTCACCTCAGTGGCGATGATGAAGTTTGTTGAAAAAAAAAAATCTTCAGGACTACAGAGGTTTCTGTATCATTTTTGCAGTATGTGAAGTCCCCCTTATATCCAGCCTGTACAGTGAAGTTGTTGAATATGAAATGATCGCCTAGCTTCAGTTAACATAAGGTACGTCGACTCTGTTCTAGAGTTGATCAAAACTGGGCTAAACGTTGTGTACTAGGCAGTTGCAAACTGGTGTAGTGAAGCACTGAACAGTGAAAGGAGCCTTAATGTGCTGGTGCAGATCAAACACAGACCCATATCGCATTCTGTGACTCTGACGAACGATGAGGAGGGGGTTGTTACCTCGGAGGAGGTTTGCACTTTTCTAACTCTCTGCTTAAATGTGAGTGTTTTGCTGGGGCTGTCGGGTGGGCTCTAGGGGGGCGGGGCTGTTACTAAAAGGCTTTAGGGTATCCTACAGTACTCACTGGTGACTGAGCTTTGGAACATATTCTTTTGTTTTCTGAAATTGCTCTATTGCACTGATTTCTGATAAAATGCTATTTAGGGAAAATAAGTAACAATTTGATACAAGAATATGTAGGTTATAAAGACCAGATAAACAGTGTGTTGTTTTTAAAGTTCTATAAATACTATTTTCCTAATGAAAGGGGTCATTGTCACAGGTTTCAGACGAGAAAACTTCTTGTGTTGTAAAATTGGTGCTTGGTTGTTTGTGTGGCTTCTGCCCTTGATATTGGACTTAACTTGTATCCTGTACGCTTGTCCTGTGTGAACATGTCACGTATGAGTTCATGTATCAAGGTACACTTAACCCCCCCACCCCCAACAACTATGGATTGCTGCTTGAGTTGAGGGAAAAGAGTGGACTCGTTGTTGCAGAATCGTGTACCGTCCTGCCAAGATATTGTGGCCTGTTAAAAGTCCTCTCTTGCACAATTTGAGATGAATACGGCAGAAAACTAAAGCACCAATGTACGAATTTTGAAAATATCAAAGATTTTTTTTTTAAGTTTGTTTGTTACCACCTTTTCTAAAGTGGAAAGTGCTTAAGGATACTTTGATATTGTAGCATGTTTGTCACTCAGCCTTTGTGAAGGTGGTCAGCTATTTCCCAAACCTGCTTACTTGTGAACCACTGATCTAGTGTTATACCTATCGCTAGCTGAAATGCATCTGGTAACCTCTTAAGATGTGTGTTTGGATTCACGCCAGTGAAGGCCTACAGTGTGAATGATTTCAGAGGTAGACTATAAACGAGACCAAAACCAGTATTTCTTTTTCAATGTTAACTCAATAGCTTTGCACCCTTCATAGCTGAAGAAAGTTCACTCTTCTTCTACCGTAGACATAACAAATTTACTTGAAGTTATTTAAAAAAAAATCAAATATATAATACTTAATGATGCACTTAATGGTTGAAATGAAATTATGTAAATAATTATATGGTATGTATGACTGAGAAGGTAGCATGTGTGCTTATTTGTTTGCTGGAAATCTGGAACTGTTCAGCTTGTAAAATATTAGCTGCAAATTTTCCCTATTTCCTTCACCCCAACCTCACTGTTTTCTCCCCAAAGTTTGTTTCCCTGAACCCCATGTGTGATGAACTTAAATTAATATTTTTAAATGAACTGTGAAGTGACCATAACAAGCAGCAAGAGAGACCGAGCAGTTTTAGTGAGGCAGGGAATGAGTTCCCTTTCATACTTACAGGCTTTCTCCTGGGTTCAATGTTTGTAAAGGCTTTGTGAGAAAAAATATGTATATGACAAAGAAAAAACTCTTTACCTCAAATTTGTTAAAATATGAAAAACTGCCTCATGTTCTTTAAAAAGGTGTGTTGGTTTCAAGAGGTATCGTTTATTTGAGTTTGTTTTTAAGGAGTGTAACCCAACATTCAGTTGAAGTAATTTTTCATGTCCAATAAAGTAATATTTGTTGTACCTCCTGTCCACTTAAAAACCTCAAATATTGTTTCCAACTTTGCCTTGTGTGTTGTCAGTCTATCTACATGCTCTCAGATCAATATCTTTTCATTTCTGTTAAGATAAAAAGCTTGTGAAGGAATAATGGATTAATATTTGTCATGGACATCTGCAGAAATCCTCCTGGGCCTAGATTCACCAAACATCTCAGATTAGCAGCGCTGATCTATGATCTGTTCCTGTCAGTAACTATTGAAGGACAATCTAAAGTTAGACTCTACTTTTCCATTATAATACATAAAAAGTAATGTATTATAATGTATTGATAAGCTACATGGGGAAAACTCGGCTGTTGTGATTTTTAATTTACACTATTCTTCACGGTTACTGGTTGACAATTTTCTTCATGTAATTTTCTATTATGTTTCATTTCACTGCTGTCTCATGAACTAAGTAAATGATTCACTATGTCCCAGTAGCAAAATTGACTATAAAGTGGGTACCTATGTGATTCAGGTAATTACATGTGTGTAACTTGCCATAAAATGCATGCATGAGTCCAGGACAACACCAGTCCTAAGCTTATCCCTCCTGAACATGTCCTAAACTGAGGAGACTGTTTGGTTCGATCATCCATTAAAGGAGTTCAGTAACACTGAGATTAATAACTGGCTCATCACATTGAATTATCAGTTTTCTTAAGCTTTAGCAGACACTTAAGTGTTTGTAAAGAAAATGTACTCCTGCTCTGAGTTTTCTTTAGGATACAGTGAGCTGCTTTAAAATAAACAAGCATTGACAGTGTCTCTTTTAAAGATGCTATATATTTGTAATGTAGTGTGTAACTGTACTAAAAGACTCTCCTAAAAAAATTAAAAGGTAACTATTCTGAATACTGCCTTTGAAAAAAATGTAACAATTCTGTACATATACTGAATATATATTTCACACACTTGTATTGCATTACCTCCCAACACTGGATTCATCACGTTTAGAAGACAACTTTGTTTCTAATAATCTTTCATTAAAATGTGATTACTTTTGCCCACCTTTCAAAACAGCACCTGATCATCACCACGGGCCAGTGAGTGGAGAAAGATAATCAATAATAAATTTCACCTCCCACTCCCACCATCCCCACCTATCTTTGAGCAAAAACGATCAGCTAACTTGATCTTCCCCGATACTGTTTTTCTCAAATACGTCACAGCATAGAACAAAAATGTGTTACAATTTCAGCTTAATTTTGGACTTTAAGCTTTGTTGCATTACTAATCACAGTGTTTCCTATATGATCTATTCAATCATCACAAATGAACTAACTAAGAGAAGCAAGTAAACTCATGCAAAAGTGGTGCAAAAAAAAAAAAATCTGCTTTCATAATTATAAACTGAAGTATTTCCCAAACAATCTTGTCACAGTAGCATCTACAACTATGTTCAATCAGTGATCAGTTCTGCACAGTGGTGGATGTAATGTGCTCCTGCTCTGAAGTTTCTTTGAAAATTATGGACTGCAACTCGAGCTCAAAAATTCCAGAAATATTCTGATAAGCATTGGGAATTCTTAGCAATCTACCCAATATTCAAGCATTGCTGAAGAATATGCAGAAATAAGCACATGCCAATGCTGTCAACTGTTTCCTGACTCTGCTTTAAAGAAGGGGTGGATAACCATTCATGTCTAACCACCCACTTTTCTTTCTGGCTCAGCTTTCTAAAATGTAAGTGTTCAAGTTTGAATGCCTACATGCAGCTGATTCTCAGTTGGTGACGAACATTAAGGGTAGGCAGCATTGTCTTAAGTGAACTTTATTTTTTTTAACTGCAAGGTATTTTCCAAATTACATGGGTTTAGGAGGAACTCTTGGGGCAGCACCCTAGAAGAAAAAAAGAACAATAACTTGTACATAAAACCTCTATTTTACATTAAAGTTTCAATACATGGCAGCATAAGAGAGCCACAACCTGTAGCTGCAAGCAAAATCTATATTCAGCCACTTATCTTTAAATGTATAAGTTGTCTTCAAGGTGTATCCAGAGTGAGCAGTATGGATGTTAAACTTACACTGGGTCTGAAGCGAGGTGGTGGGGTGCGGTCCTTTCTTGCCTCTCGTGACCGGTTCCTCACCACTTTGCTGTGAATGGCGCAGCTCACGCAGTAATGAAGCTTAACATACAGCTTTGGCAGAACATAGGCTGTTAACAGAGTGAGACAGTTAGCTCTGTTCAAATATACCACAGCTCATTCATATATATTGCATACTGAATTAAGCTTTTACCACAAAGCTGAACCACCAGTGGGTTCAGTTCTACACTGAGAAACACTGAATATATGCACATCACTTATAAATTCTATGGCAGATGTTTCCAAATCCACAACTCAAACTAACTTCCAGTGCTGTATTTTGTAGGCTCATATTTCATTACCTTGGCAGGCATTGAGAAAAGTGTATGCTAACTCTGTGTG